GGCTTCCGGTCGAGCCTGTAATACTCGCTCGCCGCGTGAAGTGCTAACAGCGGCAGCATTCCGTTCGATCGCGGCCCGTTTCTTGTTCTCGCCATCTTCGTTTCGGTTTAGGGTTTGATGATTTTGATCTGCAGCTGCAAAAACAGAGCCTTTTCTCTCGATTTGCCTCCTTGGTTCGTACGAAAAGCACCTTCTAGAGTCCCCAAGACGGTTCGGCTTCGCGGTTACTTTTTTCCTTTTTTCTTTTCCTTTTCCTTTTCCTTTTTTTCTGTGTTTTTAATTGGAGTGTGTCATGGGCTATTTCTGTTCGAAAAAGAAATAGCCTGGCCCATTAACTCATGGCGCTTCATGGCCTGCTTATTTTCTTTTCGATCACCTGCTAATGATTTGACAAAATAACAATAAAAACTCTTACTATACATTATTTATAGATTATAAATAAATAAATAAAAGCTCTGATCAGTGATCACCATAGCATTTTTTATGGTTTTGTTTCATTTTTCATATTTATTTTTACTGTTTTATCTTTAAATTGTTCTCATTAAGTTAATTCATTTTTTATTAATGGCGAAAGACACGAATTTGAGATTTTCTTTTAAGATGACGGCAATATTACCTCATTGTCCTTTTTTCCTTTTTCGTTCTATTTTCTCCTTCTCATCCCACAATTTGATCATATGATTAAGTCATATTGGTTAAACATTTTTAAAATTGAATAAATTAATTTTTTTATCAAAAAATTAATATTTATAGTGACATAAAAAAGATAGAACCACATTGTGAGATGCCAAAAAGGGGAGAGAACATATATGGTGGTACAATGAGGAAAGCAATTAGCATTTTCTTATTTGAATATTGAAAATAAAAATAGCAGTAGATTAGTAGTTGAATTTATTTACAATATTTTATATTTGTTGTGATATAATTTATATTTCTTGGTAGGAGTGGTATGTTATAAATCTGTCATATCACCATAGAATATTAGCCTGCTACCAAAAAGAAAATGGAGTTTCACTAAAACACCCAAAATAGGAGCTGAAATTATAAAAAAACTCAACACCCAAAACATTTTATAAACACACCCAAAACCCATCATTACACACACTCAAAATCCATTTATAAACACACCCAAAAAATATACAATTGTTGATTTTGGGGTTGATTTTGGGTGTGTTTCTATGTTTAAATAGTGTGTGAGTTTTTTTATAAATACATGTCTAGGATTGGGTTTATTTATAATAATCTAAAAAGAAGAAGAAAAAAACCAATTTCTCCTCCTTTTTCATGTTGAATGAATTAGCCATCTTTTTTGGACTTGGACAAAAGTATTATTCATTTTTCTCTCAGCTCCATCTTCTTTCAGTTCATACTGGTCCCTCTCCTTTCTCTCTCAATAGGGCATCTCTGGCACGCGCGTGAAGTATGTGCTGAGAGGCAAGGACATTGGAGCTGCTGTGCCTGCTGCAATGCAAAAGAAACCAGCTTGGTTTTGATTTTCTGCCTCTCTCACCATCAAATTTGGACACAAATTCCAGAGGCCCAAACAATTCATCGCCCGAAAGCGACACAATGGCTAGCTGCTATTTCTGTAAGTTCTTTTTCCCCTAAATTCTCTTTATCGTTTTACATTTTTTTTATATTATGTAATTAATTTCTTTGTCTGTGCCTATTTATCTGAACTTGAATTCAATTTGCAGTAAATTCATCAGAGGGTATTCGGTGCAAGCCATTCCCTTTTGTTTTTCAGTTTGATTTTTGATTTCCAAAAGAGGGGTTGCAGGTGCCCATGCCAGATTCATAAGAAAAAGGAACAATTTTGCTGGATAATTGATTCATGTAAGAAATTTTTTCTCTCAAGTCTCAACTAACATATCAGTCCCCATTATTGTCCCTCAAGAATAAAATTGTGTAGAAGTGATTTAATAAGTCAATCAGAGTTTTAGCTGATGAATGAACTCCTATGTGACTGTTCTTGTGTTTCTTTGCGGTTTTGTTTTGTTTTGGGTTTTATAGTTTTGCAATTGTTGTTTCGAATAACTGACCTTTATCTTATCTTTAATTCTATATGCATGTAGTTTTTCCATTTTGGACACAAGTATTTGTTTGTTTAATTTGTCAATCTGTGGGCTATAGGGAATCTGTGCATCAGTCTATCATTCCTGGATTGCCTGATGATTTGGCATTGAGATGTTTGGCAATGGTTTCTCATGGGTACCATGGACTGCTCGAAACCGTCTCAAAGACGTGGAGAGATTTAATCCGTAGCTTGGACTATGCCAACTATAAGGCTAGAGAAGAATGGTGTGGCAACTGGCTGTTTGTTCTGACAGAAGGCTCCAACAATGAGTGGGTTGCTTATGATCCTGAAGCTGATAGGTGGCATCCTTTGCCAAAGATTCCAACTGTCCATGCTGACTGGAAACACTTTGGATTTTCAAGTATTAGTGTTAGAAATCGGTTTTTCGTCATTGGAGGTTCCTATGCACCGCATGATCCAGCATTTCCACACCAAAGGCCTTTTATAACAAACAAGGTGATGCAGTTTGATCCATTTAAGAAACAGTGGACCAATGTGGCAACCATGCATACACCGCGTTCTCATTTTGCATGTAGTGCTGTTTATGGTAAAATTTATGTTGCTGGGGGGCGCAACTTATCTTGTCCCAGAGGGCTTGCTCTTGCTGAGGTTTATGATCCGGTGGCTGATAAGTATGTTCCTATATTTGACACTTCAAACATGTCCGAGTACTGATGTTACTATCAATGCTTCTTGCATTTATACTTACGAAGAAAAGTTTTTCATTTTTCATGTTTTGCTGTATTATCTTTCACCATTTTTGTGGGGGCAAACTACTTCAATCTTCCTTGAGGATTGGTAGACTTGTCTTTATAATCTGTTGACCTCCCTTGTTAAAAGTGTGGCCTGATGGTATTTACTGCAGATAGCGTATTGTGTTCATATACATACGTGTGTATGCATAGGTTTAGCTGTCTGTTTGTGATATATATTTTATAGCGAATGGATTCAATTGGATTTCTTTCTTTCTTCTATATTTTTTCTCCTAAACTGAAAATTCTTTATTTATGTTATGACTATAAATTTTGCAGATGGGAGGAGTTGCCACCAATGCGCAACCCTCAAATGGACTGCTTGGGCTTATCATACAAAGGCAAATTTCATGTTCTGAGTGACCAAGTAGGCCTGCCAGACCAAAATACCTCTGAGGTTTTTAGTCCATCTGATGGAACATGGCGCACAGTTGAAGACATCTGGCCTTTTTCAAGGGCAATGCAATTTGCAGTTCAGGTGATCGGAGATAATCGAGTATATACTGTTGTAGACTGGGGTGAGAGCTTGATTAAAACAAGGGATACCGAAAAAGGAGAGTGGTACAACATAGGCTCAGTTCCATCGGTGAATCTTCCTGATCACTCGCGGCAGCTGGAGGCTTTTGGTTATGGTTTTGCTGCATTAAGACACGAACTATATGTTCTGGGAGGGAAGGCTCTCAAGTGGGAACAATCAGGTGCTGGGAGGTTTGACATTGTGAAGTTGGGTTTGGTGAGAGTTTGCAACCCGTTGGTTAAGCCCTTGAAATGGAGGGAAACTAGACCCATGGTTGGGTCAGCTCGTGGAACTGTTATAGGGTGCGCGTCCATGGAAGAAGAATCTTCAATTTTCCCAAGGTAGGGTTTTAGGCTGGAAAAAGGGATGTATATGCTGAAATCTGATGCATTTTGTTCAATGGCAAGCCTCTAAGACTAAATGTGACATTGGCTGAGATTTTTTTTTTCGGGTCAAATTGGCTAAGATTTGATGATAGTGTGTGAGAAGATCATAAAATGGGGTGATTTTAGCTGATGCACTGACTAGAAAAGCCTTGCCTGGAGAGTGGAAACATATAGGAAGAATTTACTCAAATTTGCCAAAGGGAACATGCTTGGCTGTGATTCTGAATTTTTATACAATCAAGTTCTTTTATGACTTTTATGAGTAACAAACTTCACTGAAGTGTGTTACCGAGAATGTTTTTATTTAAGTATATAAAGTATAAAAAAAAAAGGTATATAGTTTAGATTATCGCTTATACTAAAAAACAGGATGATTACTATTAAAAGAACACAAGGAAGAAAGAAGTTGAATGCATGTATAGCACTCATTTATGTATGCATGTATACCGTCACTACATAGAATTCTATGGCCTTGTTTGGTGGGTAGGATACAAGTAGTAGGATTGGATTAGCCTAATCCAATATCATGTTTGGTGTTAAAAAATGAACGTGGATACAAATGAAGGATTGGATTAGCCAAATGCAATACCATGTTTGGTGTTAAAAAATGAATGTGGATACAAATGAAAATGTGAAGCATCTTTAAGCTCCCCCAATTGATATTACAAATGTGTTGGTGTTTCAAACGCCTTGAAGAGCCTTCCTTATTAATTACTTGATGACTATATTTTTTTATTTTTTTGTTGTTGTAATTTCATATTTTTAGATGCCCGTCTCATAAAAGAAATATACATGATAGGAAAAAAACTTTTGAAACGAGCATATAAAAAAAAAAAAATTGCACATAAGTATATATATATATATATAATTTTTGTGACATTCAATACGCGCAATAAAAAAGCTTTTAAGATGGGATCTAGAAACTTTTGAGACGGACATCTAGAAAAATACAATCGAGAAAAAATAAAAAGTTTTTAAGTCGTGATTAATACATACTAGAAAAATACAATTACAAAAATAGAAAAATACAAAAAAAAAATATTTGTAAGTCGTGCGTTATTTAAAAAAAGCCTCTCTACATGCATGTTGACAGATATTGACAGATGAATTATAATTGTACAACACATAAATAAAGGAAACTTCCCAAAATATCATAACTTATGAATTGTAAGATGAATTAGAAGTTAACATAGTCCATTAAATGGTGCCAATATATGCAACAAGTCTCCCTTAGTTGATCCCACAAGATATGCATGAGAACAATAAGGTCTAAATGGTTGAAAAGGTGTGCGTGGCTTCAACTGTGGCAACTGTGAAGGGTTATTATCACTACTAAAAACATCCAATGACTCAATGTCTCCCATGGCTTCAAGTGCGTACACTTTGCTTTTATAAAATATAACATCACCAAAGTCACCATTTGGGTTGGGGTAAGTCCAAGTGTTTTGACCTGCCTTGATGGAAGCCAGCATAGGCCAGCGACCGTAAAGTGCTACAACCACATGATTCTCTAGATTCATAGTGGGGTCAATGGACAAGATAACCTTACGAATGTAATGCTCATGGTAGGAGGTTTCGTAGTTAGAAAGTGTTAGAAATGTGCCCTAAAAGCCAATACATTCGATGTAATCTCCTTAGAATACATTTCATATATGATATATAAAGGGCAAACTTATTTTGTTATCTTTTACATCACGTAAAGAAACAAATGTCCAAGGTATTGCTAAATAAGAGATAAAGTAGTATAAAGAATATTAGATTCGGGAGACCTTTAATCTCTAACTGTAGTATCCCAAAATGTTCTTAATCATAGGTTATCAAATGGGCATTGATAAACGTCAAGATTAGCACATATTATGTATGCTAAATTAGGAGGATGGTTAGTCTCAAACCATTTGTGTAGTTGACTCACAATTATGTGGGTGCTCATTAGTGAATGAGTACACTGAACGCGATCAACCGTAGTTCTTGTATGGAGTATTTATCTATATGTCAAATGAGAACTCATTAGTTGCAATAATGCAAATTAGTCCTTAGACCTGAGGCATCATGGTTGTCTTGTGATGCGTTATTGATCTTTAATAGCTCTTAAATGCAAGCCGTAAAAGATTTGTCTTAAGTGTTGTTGGGATCTCTTAATTCATCATAGGGGCATGTGAATGTACAATAAAGAATCTCTACTTTGGATAAAAGAAGGAGAATGTTTCAAGATATGATTCAGCAAATCTTTGGCAAAAGTATTTTGAGCTTGATTTAGAAAGTTGTTCTTAATCATGTTGTCACAAGGCCCAACTTTGGAAGCCCAATGGGGTTTGGCCAAATATGCTTAAGTGAATGTGTATTGGAATTGTTTCAATAAGCTAATTAACACACAAACATAATCCAACATCAACCAAAAGAGATTTGGGAGATCAAAGAGAGATAAAAGAGAGTTTTCAAGAGTGAAACACTTTCATCTTTCAAAGGGGTTTAGTTTGAAACCAATCTTGAGAATCTTGTACTAGCATCCTTGTATTCTCAAGATACTTCCTCTCATCTCAAGGTTCCATTGGTGTGGAGACTTAGAGGCCATATACTTTTGTAGCTCATATGGAGGAGAAAGATTAAGGAGCAAAGATCAAAGATCAAAGAGGAGATCAACAAAGAGGAAATCATCAAGAGAAGACCAAACACAAATTGGTTCATATAATTGCTTCAATGGTAATTAGATCTTATCCTTTCTCTTGCATTTTCCATTTATGAAAAACATATCAATCTTCATGGCTTAAGATACTTGGAAGAATTTTTGTTTTTGAATTTAAACAACCACCATAGACTTCCGCTGTGATTAATTTGATTAAATGCATGTTTAATATTCAAATGAACTTCAAAAAAATGTGTTTGTGCCTAATAAGTCCCGGCTAATGAAGTTGACCGAAGAAACTTCCTCTCGGCCCTGGCGCCTACCCACGGCCGAATGTTGCAAGCCATTGTTCACTTTCTTTCGTTAAAAGCAAAGGTGAGCTTATAAAGCAGAGTCATCATGGCCTCGGTAATTATGGCCAAGGACAAAGGAAGTATGGCTCCTCAGATGCACGGCCAAGAAAGGAAAGTCAAATGGCGTCGCCACGTGTCATCAAGGTCCCATGCCTCATTTAATGAAGTAACGCCTCTGACTACAGCAGAAGACCCACGTCACGTAAGAGCATTTAATGTGCAGGAGAGGAGAGGAAGTGATTGAAGTTAGGATATGGCGAGTAAAATCAGGGATTAGGTGCAAAAATCTCACGACTTGTAAGGTTAAGTCACCAACTATCAGACCAGGGCATTAAATGCTCCACCAAGGCCCGAGACACAGAGTCCACCATCAAGGCGGCGGCCGAGGTTTATGGGGGTCACACCACCATACTTCACATTCCCAAATGTCGATTCGACTACCCATTAGCTCTGATCAACCTCACCATGCGGATTTTCAGCTTCTTTGTCTTCTCAAGACCTTCCCTATAAATACCAAGCTCCGACTACATTTAAAGGGTTCAACACCAAACACAAGCCTCCCATGGAGCAGATCATATTTTCCTGTCATTTACCTTCCTATAATGCATTTTCAATACTTTTACTTGCTTTCTTAGGAGTAGTGACAGTTTGTAGGAAAATTCATTCATCAATATATCATACGACCCTTGACTTTCAAGGCGCCGGAGCACCATCTTTGTTACTCTTTTGTTCATTTCATATATCATACGACTGTCGCCACCCAACGACGCGCCGGAGCACCACCTAAAAACCTACCATCAACACCACCATTAACGGCCTTGTAGCTTAGGCCGTGAACCTGATAGCCGAGACCAGTTCCTTTCTCAGCCACAATCGTTTGATTAGAAGTCAAGAATTAAATAGACGCACTACTCATCTATTCACCCAATCGCATCACCTGCAAACGCATGGTAAACCGTGCTGGCACGCCCGCGCATAACTGTACCGCACCAAAGAAGGACGACCCATGTTGACGCAGATCCCTTCGGCCCAGAACACCAGGCCGTGAGATTCGCGTTCGCCAAACAAAATATTTTGAAATTCCTACAGAAAGATGGGCTTTGCTTTTGTGAAAGGGTTCCTAAGTACTACCACGGGACGTCCTTGCTCTGTTGTTGGATCTACATTTACTTTGGCCAACCCACATAACCTCCTGCTAAAAGGCACTGGCAGTTGAATATTGTTGTAGATTCTTCCTTCACAAATGCTATACTCTACTCTTTAGTGGTTGTCGTCATGGTTTGGGATCAAGAGCATGGGGAGAAGTTGTTTGTTGTGCCACCGTTGCATTTCATGATTCTAGAGTTTGGAGATAGAAAGCCATTCTTTGCAAACGGAAGCAAAACGAACATGGTCAATGGGTTCTAATAACTTGGCCAAAATAAAAAAGACAAGTACTAGAAGACTTGCCCATTCCCCACTGCTAAAGCTGATAACCATGGTCTTATGGTTGGGATTCTTATTAGACTTACAACTGGACATGATAATGAATTATTTTTATGAAACTTTAATTTTGAAACACAAGGAAAAGGCAAAACCAGAGAACATAGGAACAAGGAAAGAAACTGTAAGGTATAATTGTATGCATGTGATGCAGAGAAGAATGCTTTGATAGTAATTGATGATGAGAAGTGAACTCTTTATATAAAGAATTGAAAACAAAATCCTTTAAAAATAATAGGGAAACTATTTTCCCACAATAACAAAAAAATACTAAGAATTGAGTAATGAAAACCCCATTAAATACTTTATTTTTTTTTTTTTAAAAAAAAAAACAGAAACTACACAAAGTAGTTTACATACTTTCCCCTTCTGCATTGGGGTGGGAATTAAAGGGCTAAGGGGTGACTCGTAAGCTAATTGTTAAACGAAACAATTAGGAAACCCAATGAAAAATTGGATTTAGACGGCAGGGGCACATTGGCAAAAAATAAGTTCGGGACAATTTAATTGACTGAAAAAAGGTTTAGGGGAAAATCGAAAATTAGGTAGTACAACAAGTTCAGGGGTAGATCGATAGTTTATTCTAACTTGTAAGAAAGAAGTTGCGGGAGTTGGAGAAAATTAATGGCTACCTACATTTGAAGACCAGTGAAAGCCCAATGAATCAAAGACATCAAGGCATGGTGATTGATCACTCACCTCAAATAGAGGATCTCATAAGATTTGCCTGAAATTGGCAACCCACGGTTGTTCCTTATAAAGAAACACAGTAACCAGTCTTCGCTTATACTAAAATATAGTATATAAAGTATAAATAAGATG